CTCCCTCTTCTTATAAAGCCACCAGGACTCAATCATGAGGGCTCTGCCCTAACAATCTTATCAAATCCTAATCATCTCCCAAAAGCCCCACCTGTAAACACCACAGTCCGATACATTTCCACCCTCATAATACCTCACAATGGGGATCAAATTTCAGCAAATGAAGTCTTGGGGGACACATTTAAACCATATCCAAACCATAGCAGTAAGTATATCCATAGAATACATTCCTTAAAGTTTACTAATTCTTTTTTTTTTTTTTTTTTTTGGTCCGGTACCAGGAATCGAACTCACAACCTTGCGCTTGCCAGGCAGGCACTGTGCCGCTGAGCTAAATCCCCAGGCCCAAAGTTTACTAATTCAAAGGTAAATGAATTTATAATTTTTGTATGGCTAAATTACCTTCCAAAGAGGTTGTATACTAATTTGCATTCCCACCAGTCCTATATTAAGACCATCTCTCAGCCCATGCCGTTCTCCAACAAAGCATTTAGGTTTTTGCCCATCTCCGAGGTAAAAGGTGGTATCTCGGCACAGTTTTAATTTACATTGCTTTAATTTTCAGTGAAACTGAGCATCTTTTCATATGACATGTAGACTCCTAACACATTAGACCTTTCCTGTTGATGTGAAGAGTGATATCCAGGCCTGCCCTTAGAAAGCTAGAAGGAGCCTAGACAACAGCCTTTCTGGAACCTGGAGCAGGGTTAGAAAGTACCCGAGAAGTCATCTAGTCCAGCCCTTGTCTGATGCCTAAATCACTCCCCTGCCTCCCAGAGCTGTTCAGAGTTAGCAGTTCACAAAATTGAAAGCATCCTCATGTGGCACTAAAATTTAGAAAGGTTTTTTTTGTTAGAAAGGTTTTATATTAAGTCAAAATCTTCCTGTAATTACTTCATGACAGTAATTATAGTATGCTCTTGTTCAAATATAATATGCTTTTGATCCCCATGAATATACCACAGAGGAATAATATTGGCTTCAAATATAGGTAGCACAGTGAAATTCTCCCTTCCTCAAAAATAATTCTGCACTTGATAGTGTCCTTAAATGGTATTACATAGTCTTCATCACACTTAAAGAATATAAAATGTAAATGCCATCTGTGTAGTATTCCTGCTAACAATGAATAACTTGAGTGTAGCTATGAAGAAACCTCAGATAATACTAAATCAAAAGGTATTTTATAAAATAACTGGCCTGAACCACTCAGAAATACTGATGTCATCAAAGACAAAGGCTAAACAGCTAGTCTCGATGAAAGGAAACTGAAGAGATGCGCTGATTAAATGCAACCTGTGATCCCGAATGGAATTGTGGGTGAAAGAAGGGGGGAAATGGCACAAAGGATATTATTGGGAGAATTGGCGAAGTTTGGATACAGTTTATATATCAGATAATGGCATTGCATCAGTATTAATTTCCTCTCTTAATAATTGAGCTGTGATCATAAAGAGAATATCCTGGTTCTCAGGAGAGGCATACTGAAGAATCTACGGGGGAAAAAAAAGTATGATTTCTGCAGTTTATTCTCAAATGGTTCAGAAAAAAGGGACAATAATGCAAATGTGATGTGGTTTGGGTGCGATTTGTCCCCCAAGGGTTCGTGTGCTGGAAGTTTGGTCCTCAGTGTGATGGTGTGGAGGGGGTGAAACCTTAAGAGGTGGGACCAAGTGGAAGGTTATTTGATCATAGGGGTATCACCCCCAGAGCGATGATTGCTGGTCTTCTGAAGTGAGCTATGATAACAAGGCAAGGCTGACCCCTGAAGCTCTCTGGCTTCTTTTTAGGGCGCTTTAAACAATGTATGTAACTGAAATGCCATGCAGTGACTCCCATTTATTTTGATACATCTTTTCTCCGTGGTGATTTCAGGATCTTCAAGCCAATATAAATATTGCATAACTATTTGGCCATTTGGGAAAACACCTACACAATACCTCAGCAGGGGGCTGGGGATTTAGCTCAGCGGCACAGCGCCTGCCTGGCAAGTGCGAGGTTGTGAGTTCGATTCCCAGTGCCGGAAAAACAAAACAAAACAAAAAACTACCTCAGCAGTATCTTTCAGCAAGAAAAACACTGAGGGGTAAAGAGCTGACACAATTAACTAGATACGATGAGAATCTGCTCCAAATAGTTGCTTCTCAGGTGAAGGCACCTCACACCTGCTCAGTTAAGAAAACCGCGCTCACACACAGGACGAGTTTTTAAGGAGGGCGGAGACCGCTGAGCCGCTGCTTAGGTGCTGAGCGGCAGAGCTCCCCCCGCAGCTATGCGGTGAATTCGCGGGGAACAGGGGCCGGCAAGCGGGGCTCCTTCCCACTGGGTCGCACAAAGTGCTTCTCTGGGCCGGGCGCGCTGGCCCTTGGGGGAACCCAGGTACCTTCTCGTTGGCCTCCTCTCCTTCTGATCGTTCTCCTTGACCCCTTCCAGGCGGCTGTCTCGACTGAGTGTTTAACGCGCTCCACGCGCACGTGGAACCTCTCGGCAGGTATCTTGCCTCAACTTGCTTGTTGACGGCACCGCCAACAGCGTGCTGGGTAACCCTGTGGACTCTCCCGGTTCTGCCGCGGTAGCACTGTGTGGCGTTCCTTTCTGCACAGTACACGTCCCGTGATGTCTGCAGTCTCCCTTTTTGTAGAGTCGCATGTACGCGGCCAAAGGGAGAACCCCGTGTTTTCTGAAAGGCCTAGAGAACATATTCCGGGTTCCCCTCCTCTTTCCCTTTGTGTTAGTCATTTTGGCAAATTCCTGGAAGAAGGCGGAAGGGAAGCCCTCTTTGGTTTCTTATTTCACGTGTGATACGTATTTCTCATATGCACTCTCACAGTGATGCCATTTACCTTGTTTTTTTTTTTTTTTTTTTTTTTTTTTTTTTGGTTTTTCTCTGGTACCGGGAACCGAACTCACGACCTTGCGCTTGCCAGGCAGGTGCTTTTTGCCGCTGAGCTAAATCCCCAGCCCCTGCCATTTACCTTGTTGTGATATATAGCTAAGGGAGCATCTAACTACAGCATGAACAGATGGGGCTGCCTGGTCTTGGACTATCAGCCTCCAAAACTATAAGCTTAATAAACTTCCTTTCTTTATAAAGTACTCAGCATCAGGTGTTTTGTTCTAGCAGCAGAAAAAAAAATTTACACATGTGGCTAAATGTTAGTTACTGAATGTAGGTGAAGTGCATTTGGGATTTCATTGTACTATTTTTGCAACTTTTCTGAATGTATTTGAAAGTATCTCAATATAAAATGTATATAAATTCTTTTATCCTAGGGAAGCACATTCCCAGGTTCCACGTAACTTAGGTTGCTTTTTATTTTTAAAATTTTTTTGGTACCAGAAATCAAACTCAAGACCTTGCACTTGCCAGGCAGGCACTGTGCCTGCTGAGCTATATCCCCGGCCCCTATAAATTCTTTTAGAAGAGTGACTTAAATACAGTGTTCATTTGGAGGAGTGACTAAAGTTTCCACCAATGTGTAAATGATTGCAATGGGCATATTTACTGAAAAGGGGCAGGAGGTAAATTCAGACTAGTTGGAAATCACATGTGGTTCCTCAGAATCACTTTATAATTTTTCATAAGAGAATTGGTGAGCTTCTGGCTTCTGAAAACTGGCCTCTATGTTTTCCTCTTAAATATACTTGTTTGGATTATTTTAACCAGTAAGATCGCACTATGCATAATAGTAGACAAGAATGGTGATTGGTTCCAGCCATCTGTTTGAGGATTTATACTGGTTTGTTTTTTTTTCTACATAAACTTTGCAATATACTGCTGGGCAAAATCCTTCTGTCCCATGGAAGACACTATCTTCAGCTGCCAGCACTGTCCTCTTTGCCAAACCACTTCACATAGCGACAGTGTAGCCGGAAAGGAGGGCGGTGTAGGCTAATGATTTAGAATGCATTTAAGTTCTGGTTTCACTACTCAATAAGGTGTTTGACTCTGGGCAAATCACTTAACTTGTTCCTTGATCTCTTCACCTGCACAAAGGGGGTGATATTAATGGCACAGGCTGCATAGAAGTGACGATTAAGTAAATAGGGGCAACCCTCTTTCCGGGCCCCCTTCTGTCCCTCTCAGACAGAAGCTTTCTTCCTCTCAATAAATTCTTCCTATTCTTAAAAAAAAAAGATTAAGTGAATAAACTTAGAAATTGACATATAGGTAGTACAGTTGGCCTTCCTATTTGCAGGTTCTGCATGAACAACCCAATTGCAAACTGAAAATATCTGAGCAAAAACTTCTGTTTACTGAGCATGCATAGACTATTTTCCTTGTCATTCCCTGATCAAGAGAGTATGACAACTATTCACATAGCATTTGCATTGTATTAGGTATTTTAAGCAATCAAGAGACCATTTAAAGTATATAGGGAAAATAAAATAAAGTATATAGGAAGATGTGGGTACTGTACTATGCCATTTTATATGGCAGACTGCAGCGCTTAGGATTTTGGTATCTACAAGTATCCTAGAACCAATCCCTTGAGGATATTGAGGGAAAGCTATACCATGTAAGTGGTTGCTATTATCATTATTCTTACTAATTTCTGGACCCACTGCTCTAAAGCCAAGTTGTACTTAAGCTAACTTCAGCGCAACCCTGCTGAAAATTTTTAAGTATTGATTTAATTTTTTTCCTTTTTTGGTACCAGGAATCAAACTCAGGACCTTGCGCTTGCCAGGCAGGCGCTTATGCCACTGAGCTAGATCCCTGGCCCTTGGTTTAATTTTTAGTCTTGTTTACCAAAGGCTTTCATGCTGTTCATTCAGGCAGCCCACGAGCCAATAAAATAGTTGCTGCTTCAATTTTACCAGATTACAGATACCACCTCAATTAATAGACCTCATTGATTTCTAACTCTTAATTCATTTACACTAATATGCTCACTCCATGGATGGACAGTTCCCCTAGTTACCGCCGTGGCTTTAATTTTATTACAGGTTTTACATTATCTCCTAATATCTTTCTTTGGCTTTGCTCTCCTAGTCTGCTTTTTCAGATTTTGTAAGCAAAAAGCATAGAGTTGGATGATGCGTGGCATGTGGACCTTCCAAGGAGCTCAGAAGGAAAACACAGAGCGCCCTCGTTAATTTGGATTCCACTGACTTTGAATTGGGGATAATTTGGACACATTGTAAATGAGAAGTTGTTGGCATTATTTTTGAAGAAATGCACTGCTTTCAAATTTTGCCAGGTTAGTTTTATGTCTGAAATGAGGACATAAGATAGGAGGTTAGAAAGAACAGAGAAGTCCTACATCTTTGAGGGAGAGTGAGGCTCATTTCAAGCTTGGACGTGCACACATCAGGTGAGTTTAAAAATAAAAATTTTAAATCACTCAGAGAATAAAGCAAAGTGATTCCATTTCAAAACTAAAAATAAGGGCATTAGTTACCCACTCAGCCCTCTGGAGGGCCAGCAGGCTAGAGATGGGAGGACCAGTTTTGCCTTACGAACTGGGCTTACCTGGGCATACTGTTTAGTTTCTCCAACCTTGTTTCTTTTTTTTTTTTTTTTTTGTCTTTTTGAGGCAGGGTCTTGCTATGCAGTTCAGGCTGGCCTTGAGCTCACTTTGTAGCCCAGGCTGGCCTCGAACTCGCAATGATCCTCCTGCCTCAGCCTCCCGAGTGCTGGGATTACAGGCCTGTGCCACCACACCAGGCCTCCAACTTTGTTTCTTATCAGCAAAATGGGGATAATTTTTACTCTGCAGAACTATTGGAAGGATTCAGTCTGTGTGAAATCCTTGGCATTGTGTCTTGTGAGAAGCTAAATACTTATTTCAGAAAGACTGTCAGTACTCAAATTATTTTTTGAAACTCCTATTTTTCAAGTGCCTTCAGATTTAGTTTGAGTTACCCTGAAAAGAAAAGTTCCATTATACTACAGTCATATATCATTTTTGACATTAAAAAACACTCTCTGGGTTGGATTGATCTTTTGACCTAATTATCAAACGTGGGTGTCTTTTGAATATTTGCAAAAATTAAATCACCTTTAGAAGACAGAAATGTAGTGCCATTTGGGATATTTTAAAACTCACACATCATGGTTTTGGAGGCAAGCATAACAATATAAGAGGTTCAAAAATGTTCAAGCAATGACTTCATCAAAAGTGGCATGAATGCCAATCTTCATAAAGAGACTGCCAGGAAAGTGCAACAACTTCTTGGAAGTATACGCTTTAGTAGGTTTGTTTAAAAAGCAAACAGAAATCACGTATGGTTTCATCTCATTTTAAAAATAAACTTTCAGTTTATATCAGAAACATTGGATTTTTCACTTTAAAAAGATGATGTCATTTCCCTCATATCACATTTGGTAAGAAACCAATCTCTATTCCCAAGCGTCAGAGGAATTTATAACAGCACAGTTGTTGCCTTTTCATCATTCGATGCAGAAGAGAAATCAAATCTTAAGATAGTTACCGAGAAAATTCCAGAAGTTCTTAGAATCAAAATATGCGACCCAGGGAAATTATAGAGGAAGATATGTGGCATAATAGGTGAACAAGACTGTCAGGAGGAAGAGCCATAAACAAACAAAACAAAGGCAGAAAGGCTTTTTAAAACTCTTACTGCATTAGATTTTTATTTTTTTTAGCAGTAAAATAAATTACAGTCTATACTGTGGTATATTAAATTTTGCACAATGTTATATAGAAACACTGTTTCTATCATAGAGTAAGAGTAAGAATATTAAAATACTACTCATGAAATAAAACACCCATATATTGGTATAATAAAAGCCATTTTACACAATATTGTCAACAAAAAACTTTTAAGCCCTCCACATAGGGTCAGTGGTCCGATCTGGACTGGCCAGCCCGAGCCTTCCAGCCGGTGCTCAGAAAGCAGACCTGGGTTTGGAGTCATGATCAGAGCTTATCTCATTAACAGTGAGTCTTTCTGTACCAGAAGACCAACGTTTTATCCCAAAGGTAAGTCCTACAGGGAACAAATGGTTGCATTGGTCACCAATTAGGGACAGAGGGAAGATGTTAAAATACTGCATATATGGCCCAAGAAAGGGTTACTGTGACTAAGGCGTGGGTATTGCCTGTGGCAAAATTTTTGTGAGTTCTTTTAAGGCATTACCAGCCTTCTTATCTAGATTGCCACCTCTGGAGTTAGAGTCCGCTCTACAAAACTCAGAGAAAACAATGACTGCTTCTCAGACTTTACACAACTGAATGAATACCTCTCAGCAGGAAAACCTTTGCAGAAACGCTGGCCTAATGAGTCAAGCAGTAAATGTATGTCCTAAAATTCCATCTACCTGACCGTGGAATCAAAAGGTCACCTTTCAATAAAACTTGAATATCAAAACCTGTACCTTAATCCCAGCACTTGGGAGGCTAAAGCAGGAGGATCTCCATGAGTTCCAGGCCAAGGCCAGCCTGAACCACATAGCAAGACCCTGTCTCAAAAAACTAACAAACCAAAAACTGTACCTTGCCAGATACTGTACTTGGAAACTTAAAAATTAGCTAATCTCATGAAACTCATTCCTTATTAAAGCTCAACATTCTAGCTAGTAAATCATCCTTCACGTTCCATTAAAGGCATTAGCGTCCATACAGGATAAAGATGAGATTTAATTTACCTTGACCTTACCCTAACAAAAGAAAAATCATTTCATGAAAGTATTACTCAAAAACTAAGGAGCCAACTTTTAAATTTTTGTTTGTTTTCCAGAAACTAAGGAGGTAAAGACATTTTCTATACCAATAGTATTCAAACAATCGCCATCAGTTTCAAAAAGCCAGACTGAAAGTGGAGGATTTTCTTCTTGAGGTTGCACAAAGACTTAATCTTTTTTTTCTTGTTTTGTTTTTTTTCCCCTGTACCGCGGATCGAACTCACCACCTTGCGCTTGCCGGGCAGGCGCTGTGCCAGAGCTAAATCCCCAGCCCTTTAAAGCCTTAATCTTGACAAGGGTTTTTGTGGAGTTGCTGTGACCCCTTGAATCGGGACCAAATGAAGCCTCCCCTCCGCTTACCTCGCTGTCGCTGCCCGGGAACCTGTCCTCCCCGCACCGGAGCGGATGTGGTGGAAGCAGCTGGTGGCGTACTCGGTCCACTCATCATCCCTGGTATTGCACACCGGAGCTCGGAAGAGAGACTCATACCGAGTTCTCGGAATTGCTGGCTACATAGGGGTGGAGGCTGGCAGAGGGCAGCGCCACGAGCGCGGGGTACACGACCACGTGCTCCCTAGGACCCCTAGGGTGTTCTTAGGGCCTCTCCATAATAAACCATAACTTCCTTCCCTAATCAGCCCATCCAAGCGTGGGCCTTGTTTCCGGCGCTGTGGCCTCCGGCAGCTCAGCAGCCTGCCGGGAAGATCCTTCTAGGTGGTCCCCCCAACCCAGCGACTAGGCTTTCTTGCATTTTGTATTTGCATTTAAGGGAGTCGGAAAGGGCCATTTCCCGCTCCCTATGGGGGTTTGCGAGGGCTTGTCCAAAAATGCATCAGGGTGCAGCTTTCCATACCGCCCAAGTTCCTGTGGCGCTGGTGGAACCCTAAGACTGGCTGCTGCCCAGCTATGAAGTGAGCTGTGACCCCGGGGCTTTGCAAAAGAGAGTCCTGGCTTCGGAACCTAAGGTAGGCCTCTCCTCCGCAGGGAAGGCTGGAGGCAGCGTTGGAGAAGGAGCGGAACACCGACAGCTTGCAGGCTATTTTCCTACAGCGTCTTTTTCAGGGGCTGCACCTCTTTGTTCTGGCGGCAGGGGCGGGGTGGGAGGTGGGTCTTCCTTTTGGAGAAGGCAGCTGAGACCGACTGCTTCTTTAAGAAATTTTCCAGTCCCAATAGTGGGACGACCTGAAAGTTCTTAGCAGGCTGCCTCGGCATTTGGGAGCAGCACCTGGAGAGCTCTGGGTGCAACCTCTTGTTTCCCAGTTGTTTTGCCTTTGATTCTTTTAACGGCTGCTTCAGCAGGAAGAATGTCCCATTGTCCGAAGAGGGAGTTCCATCAAGTGCAAACACACCTGTTTTGGATTCTTAAGATTCACACCACTGGCCTGTGAAATATTATGAGGGGCCCTGTTATGATTTGTGTCTAGATGTCCCGCAAAGCCTCATACAGTCATGGGGCGGGCTTCTAAACTTTGTGATTGATTCCCGGTCCAATGCTAGGATTATGGGTGTGAGTGCTACACCCCTCCTGGGGCGGGGAGCCTGCATAGAATACAAGGGAGGGAGGGAGGCTTGCTCTCTGCTGCTCCTTCCTTTTTGCTGTTGCTGCTTTTCCTGTTTTCTCATGGCCTTGAACAGTTGCCCCCTGCCATGTGCCACTCTGCCTTGGAGCCGGCCGAGTATGGACTGAAACCTCCACAAACTGTGAGCTAAATAAACCTTTCCTTCCTTCATTTTGGGCATCACGTATTTTGTCTCAGCAATGTGAGAAAAGTAACCAAGACAGGCCCTGACACACAGACTCCCATTCTCAGAAGCCCGCACATGGGCTCAGCTCTCATACTGGTTTTAGATTTGTTGGTCCTTAGGGGTGGTTTTTGGTTTTTGGTTCTCAGTACCAGGATCATACTGTAGCTGTCCATTTCCTTATAGGTGGAGGACTAGAAGCAGACCCCAGACTGCTTGGAGGAAGTGTCTATTTTGGTGGCATCTAGTTCTGGTCAGAGTCACATGGCATTTGAATGGTTTCAAAGTCATGCGTCTTCCCTCAGAGGGGTGTTTGGCTCCTGAAAGGCTTCTTTGAGGAATGATGAAAGCATTAATTACACAGTGGCAATGTTTGCACACTGAGTACACTAAAAACTATGATATACTTTAAAGGAGCAAATTGCATGTGCTATGCATTTTATCTCAATAAAACTGTTTTAAAAATCTAATACAGATGACGACGCGAAGGCAAAGTGCACGGTTTAGCGTGATGTGTAAAGGGACACCTGCTGCGGGACAGAACCAAATTTCCCCCTATTTGTGCTGACCGAAGGACCTACAGCCATGGCAGTAACTGAGGAGAGATGCTTCCTTCACTTCATATGTTTTCAAGGTACATCCACGTTGTAGCATGCATTCGGCCACTTCCTTCCTGCAGCTGAACATTCCGCATTTTATCTACTCATCAGTTGAAGGACATTTGGGTTGTTTCTGGTTTTTGTTTTTGTGGGTTTTTTGTTTTTTTTTTTTTTTTTTTTTTGGCTTTTATGGCTATGAATAATGCTACTGTGAACATTCATGTGCAAGTTTTCATGCAGACATGTGTTTTTTGTTTCTCTTGACTATACTTAGGATTGGAATCGCTGGGTCACAGGGTAACTCTGTCTGCAGTACTTTGAGGAGATGCCAGAGCATTTTGCATAGTGGCTGCACCATTTTACTACCAGTACTGCCTGAGAGTTCCAGTTTCTCTAAATCTGTTTGGTTTTGTTTTAAATCAAATTTTCAAGACTGCTGACGGCAGATCCAGACTGTTGAGATGGAAAAAATTAGAAAGAGATATACCAATATATCAAGTGTTCCGGGGCTGCTGGCAGGGATGTGAGCCTGTTGGATGGAGAGTGGTCAGGAAAAAATCCAGTGTAAAGTAAAATAACATATTTTAAACATGATCATCATCATTAACCAAGATCTTGTCACCACCTGTTCTTTTGTGCTCATCGGAAAAGCAAGACCAAATGTATGTCTCTCTCCTGGGCAGCATGCATATTCATATTGAGAGATTTAAATTAAGGACAAAATAAATAATTGTGAATAATTACATTTGAGGGAGAAAATGAAGCGCTATTTATGATATTGTTTCAGTCTGATGTATTATCCAGCTAAAGTGCTAATTCCCTCCTTGAAACCTTCATTCCACTCAGTCCCTTCGGCAACTCTGCTATCCTTTTCACCCCGTTATTCTTTGGCTTCCTCTGAAAACATAGGCTTGCTCCTCAGATTACTCACTCGGCACCTTGTGATGTGTACTGTTGTAGTTATTTAACTGTTTTTTTCTCCTTACTGGACATTGAACCCAGGGCCTTCGCACTGAACTTTACCACCAGACTCTCTTCTATTTCTATTTTAAGAGAGGCTGCCCCTTAGATGCCCAGGCGAGGCTCGAACTTTTGATCCTCCTGCTTTAGCCTCCCAAAGTACTAGGATTACAGGCATGTGTCACCACACCTGCCGTTATTTCACTTTGATGCAAATATGATTTGCATCCCTTCATCACTGTCTGAATGCATTCAGGGTGGTAAACTTTCCAATTCACCAAACGCAATTTGGAATTAGGGTATGAGAGTTGCTTAAGTGTGCTCGATTTATCTCTGTTGAATGATTTAATTTTGGAACCTGACACAAATTTTGGTGATAAGATGACAAGGTATAAATTTTTAAAAATTTCTGAACCCTGAGAATAAGCACCTCCGGAATTGCTTATTTTATAACATAATTTACCAACCTCAGAAATGCAGTCTATACTAGCAGTCAGAAATAGATAATTGACCAAAACCTGACCCTCAGCCAAATTTCTGAGTCATTCTGTTGGTGACCGGTTTTGTCATCTGAGCACACACGTGCGTGTGCATGTGCACATGCAATCCACACAGCTCCAACAGAACTCCGGGTGGGGATGTGGCTCAGTGGTTGAGCCCTTGCTTATCGTGTGGAAGGCTCTGGATTCTATCCCCAGCACTGGCAACTAGCAACAACAACAAAATAATCCGCCTGGCATTATTTGCCTGTGAACGTACAAAACTTGAGCAGCAGTAAACAACAGGGTTGCAGGTTGCCACAAAAGCCTAAAGATCCATTCCCAGGACTGGAAGATAATAATCATCCGCTCGAACCTATTGAGAGATTTTATTCACAGCTTTTTATGCTGCAGAGTTTATGAAATAAAATAATAACGTAACACAGTGTACTTTGGATTTATATAGCACCTTTCATCCAAGGAGCTTAAAGAAACTTACAAACATTACTCATTCACTTTCATAATTTTTTATTGAATTAACAAGACAGTCTGCTGTACAAAAGTTGAAAGTAATAAAAACAACCATATTTTATATAACTATTCCAAACATAGCCATTTTCTGTTTGCTTGACTTACATGAAATTATTCAGCTTCTCATTAGTTTCAACCTCCAGGAGATAAGGCGACAATGAACTCCTGAAATGTATAAATAAAAAAGAATAATTCAGAGCTCGTGTAGCATTTGTCTTTTCCCTGACTGAGAACTTTAATTTTGGAGAAGGAAAAACCTGTGATATGTTTCACACCTCGCCCATCCTATGTGCATTTCACATTTGACAGACAACCCCACTAAGACTGCAACTGCTTTTTAGCCCTTGAGGGGAAAGGCTGCTGACTCAAACGGAGACATTCCTAGGACTCTGTAATGCTTTAATGGCCTGACTACTTGTTCTTTGATCCTATATTGCAAAGCCAAAGTTGCTTAGGTCCTGTGTTTATGCCTCTTGGGGATGGAGACATTTTTTAGCAGCTAGAGGGAAATGTAATACAGCTGCTTGAGGAGGCTGCTTCTCTACAATGTAATTTCACTAGCGGCCTGCTTATCTTTTTTTTATTTTTTGTTTTTTGGATTTTTTTTTTCCGGTACAGGGAATCGAACTCCCGACCTTGCGCTTGCCAGGCAGGCACTGTGCCGCTGAGCTAAATCCCCAGCCCCGAGGCCTGCTTATCTTCTGGGTGATTTAAATCCACCTCTGAGTCTTGAGACCTGGGATGGGGGTCTCAGTAACCTCCACTGGTGTTTTCTTCAAGTAGATACTAGACGTTCTAATGAATTGTTTCTTAAATTAACGTAGAAGTAAGACAATGCTCACAGTTAATAGGAAAATAACAGCCTTGTCTCAGACCTGCTCGCAACAGCAATAATAAAAGTTTTTCACTAGGAAAGTAGAAGCCTTCCTACCTGAGCCATTCTACCTTCCACCCCAGAGGTTTCCTGGTCTCCTTTTTGGGTTTTGGTTTTATAAATGCCAAGGTAAATGTTAAGATGAATGCTGTAGTTCAAGCTTCTTTAACAAAGTACCACAGGCTGGGTGCTTAAATAGCAGAAATTTCTCACAGTTCTGGAAGCTAGAAGTCTGAGACCTGGATGCCAGCATGCCCGAGTGCCGGAGAAGGCCCTCTTCTGGGCTGCAGACTGCATTGGTCCTCCACAGGGGAGAGCGGGGGACACTAAGCCCACCCCTGAGGGCTCCACCCGTATGACTTTGTCACTTCCCAAGGGCCCCACGTCTTAATACCAGCACATTAGGGTTCAGATTTCAAAATACAAATTTTGGAGGGACACAAACAGTCCATGCAATGAAGATAAACTACAAAGTTACCCTTCGCTTCATTTTTCTAAATGCATTACTTTATCATATAGTAATGCTTGAGTGTTCTAGCTGATATATGACTTTTGGCTCTATTTATAGAAGTCCTTCCACGCATAGTGTCATTTTCCATCGTTAGTAGCACAGTCTGAAAATATTAAATGGAAAATTTCCAAAATAAACAACTCATAATTTTAGTTTGTGTGTCATTCTGCGTTGTGTAATGCAATCTTGCACCACCCCATCCCATCTGGTCTGGGATATGGATCACCCTCTGCCCGTCTGTCCATTACACTGTATGCACACGTGTCAGTTACTAGCTGTCTTGGTTATCAGATGGATTGTCATGGTATCGCAGTACTTCTGTTCATCCGATTCTTATTTTACTGAACAGCCTCCAAATGCAAGAGTAATGATGCTGGCAATTAGGATATGCCAAAAATAAACTGGGAAGTACTTTGTTTAACTGAAAAGTTGAAAGTTCTTGACTTAATAAGAAAAGAATTGCCGGGCATGGTGGTGCGTGCCTGTGATCCCAGCACTCAGGAGGCTGAGGAAGGAGGATCTCCATGAGTTTAAGGCCAGCCTGGGCTACATAAGTGAGTTCAAAGCCAGCTTGCACTACATAGTGAGACTTTGTCTCAAAAAAAAGAAAAAAATCATATGCTGAGGTTGCTATCATACCTCAAATGGCAAAAGCTATGGCCACCATGTACCTAAGTGCTTAGATAATACAGAAAAGGCATTAAAGTACAGGTTTCAGTACTTCCTGCAGTTTCAGCACCTGCTTCAGATTCTTGGAACATATTCTCTTCCAAAAAGGAGCATTGTATATTAGGCAAAAAGAGTTATTTTAATGGGAAAACAAAACAAAGGTCCCACTCATCACTTGCTGGTTTTAAAATACTTTGTTAAAAAAAAATAAAATAAAATAAAATAAAATAAAATACTTTGTTAAGTAACATAC